CCCCCCCCCCCCCTCCCCCCTTCTCTCTCACTCACATCCTCTATCTGTTATGAGTTGGATACTTCCCTCCATTCTGTGTCAACCTTATGTGATCTCTCACTCATTATTTCTGATTTTATATGTTCTCTCTGTTACTACAGGTACGGTCTTATTGCTGTACCTGAAGTGCTAGGTTGGCTATCCTTGACAACCAGTGACATCTATCTGGTGATTGCATCCGATGGGATATTCGAGAGCTTAACCCCACAGGATGTTTGTAGTATCTTAGGTAATGCACGCACCCAAGGAAACGAGATGGCGAAGAACTCGTCTTCATGTTCTGCCTCGTCATCGTTGGCTGACTGCGTTGTCAGTGCTGCACTTACGGAAGGCAGCACGGATAATTTGTCAGCTATTGTGGTTCCATTGAGACCGGCTGGTTCCTCCCAAGAATATTTAGACGAGTTGTGACATGGAGCGCAATCAGTTCTTTAGCTTTAGCACTGCAATTACGAAGCTTATATCTCGTTCTCTCCGAAAATCATTTGTAACGAGGTAGGTATGCTACTTTTTAAAGGCCACTAGCTCAGAACTGCATTTTTTTTTTGGTTCAACAGTCAGGAGTGTCCAAGTATATTTATGTGTACCTCAATTAATCCTTTCTCCGATCTAATTAAAGGCGATCATCTACACTACAATTAAGATATTTATCTAGGATAAATCTCTCATGACCCAGAGGTTTAGAGACTAGATTTTGAGTTAACACTAGTCGATTATTTAGAACAGCAATATGGAGTGAAGCATCCTTATCGCACAATTAGTCCTTCCGGTATGTCTATACGCCACTCAAGCTAAGCTGGAGAAGGTAAGAACCTCAGACGATTACTACAGCCTCAGATTGTGTCCATTCGTGAAATTATTAGCGTCCCCTTTGTGAATAATCAGACAAAACTTGAAACAAGGCAAGATGTGTAGAGCCTGTTGAGAATTGCTGTTGCGAGCATTTGCTGTTTTCTTCACGAAGTCTCGTCTAAGCTTACCATCTGGTTCCATTGGTAGGGCGTCAGCTCAACCGCATGTGTGTGGCAACATATGAATTTGAAGACCCAAAGTGCCTAACATTCTAGAACCGGAAGTACAGGTATGTATTGCTTGAATTATGAGCACAACCAAATCAGGAGCAACTCTAAAAGGCTAGCTAAAATTTCTTTTTTAGCTATTTTATATAGCTTCTTCTTAAAATATGGATCTAACAGACTAATTATTCTCTTATTTATTTTTTATAATCTCTTTTTCACTAGCTATATCTAGCTAGCCACTTCTCTCTAATTACATCATAAGTTGTTGGTCTAGTGTTTGAATGAGACGATCGATAGAGAGATGATGGAATCTAATTTGATCAAACTCAAAGTCTTCACAAGTTTTCGATCATACAAAAGTTTTGAGGTGATTTTGTTTTGAATTTTGTAATTTAATTTGAGAGTAATAATTTTCGAGAGGTGGATTCTCTCTTGTAACTTATAATTGATTAAATTTGTACAATGTATAGTTCAATTGCAATTTTTTAAATTTTATTATTGAAAGTTAGTTAAAATTAATTGAAGTGGTTATTTAAAATAAATAGCGTGGTTGAAATAAATTTGAAAAAATAATTAATTAAAATAGATAATATAATATTTAAATATATTTTGAATAACTATTTTAAATAACATTGTTAGAAATGCTCGTAAATCACCCATCCACGGTTAATACTTTGACCATTCTATGTATAAGTCTCATGCAACGATTTAATTGAACCAATGTGCATGGTTCGAGTATTTCATGGAAAATATAAAAAGGAATCATGACAAACTACCAAATACAGATTTTTTTTGTGTAGATTATCACAGAATTCTTTATTCAAATAATATTCATAGTTGTGGTGCAGACTGGTTAAATTCCTTAGGATAATTAACCTTTTATTATTCGTATTATTATTGTTGTTAGCATTTAGATTTTACAATCTGGCATCACCGTTAGAGCAACAATTTGGAGCCAAGACTTGTATTAGAGATGATGCATACAAAAATATAATATACAATATTCCTTTTAAAAAACAACTGGTTCAACCAGTCAGTACAAGATAGTAAGAGAATATAAGGCCTTGATTGATTTTCATCTCAAAAATTATTTTCCTTCTTAAAAAACAATTTCTTAAAATAAAACTGTTTGGCCAATTTTTTTATTTTTTTTAAAAACTGAAAATAAAAACTAAATAAATTTAGAGAACAAATTAAAGTTATTTTTGAAAACAACCTTTCTAGAATTTAAAAAACACCACCACCACCACCACATTTCATTTCTATTTTTATTGTTTTTTGGATTGTTATCAAAACAAGTTTTAACATTTTCTATTCTGTAAAACTGTTTTTAAAATCATATAACCAAACAAATTCTGCAACATAAAAAACACTTCAAACAGTTTTTTAAAACTTTTCCTAAAAATAATTTTTGAATATTATTTTTTGAGATCCAAACAAAAGAGAGCCTAAATTTCCTTTCATTTAAGGGACTATGACAAATCAAATTAGTTGTGACATATTACTACATGATAACCAGCTAAAAGGTAAAAGCAATTACAAATGTACAATATATACACAAAAAATGAACTGAAAGACGAAAGAAATTTCCCAAAAAAAAAAATAAATTAAACCATAAGCAAAATTCCGAACATTTATAACCAGCTTTTACAGACCAACTCGTCCGTGACATTCCTTCAGTACTATGTGATCACAGTAACCCTTTTCCAATCCCGCAGTTATTCTACAAGAAGACAATTTCAGGTCAAAATAATAATCATCACCCCAAGAAAAATGTCCACATCCTCACAACAAAATAGATGAAGCAATGCTCAGGACCTTCGATCTAAGAAATGATAGGCAGGCTTTCAACGGAGTCCATAGAAAAGGTACTTGGCATAGAAAATGAGGATTTCACAAACATCCCCTTTTCCCCATTCCCGAAGCTTCTTACACCTAATATGTGAAGCTGCTCTCGATATGCAAAGAATATATTCATAGAAAAAAAAAAGGGTAAAAAGAAAAGAACACCGTCATCCATGTAGTATAAATTATATAAAGTTTTGACTAGAAAACTGCCAAGGAGGTACCTTTTCGAACAACGAAACTCATCTTATGGAGCGGTGCATAAACTAGATCTTTCCATGACCTTGTCTTTGGGTAGATGGCAAAAAATAAGGATGCCGCAAAGCATCATCAACACTCGGTCGATCCTCCTATAATTCAAATGCATTTGAAAACACACAATTACATCCATTAATCCAATTCACAACCAACTCTCACTCGATCAAAAACATGTTCCAGATCAAAAGCCAAAATAGATTCCAGGTTCCATACGATAACACCAGCTATAAAATAACAAAACAATCAATTACAATGCAATATAGATGCTTCTTAACTTATTTCATTTGTCTTTACATTTTCAAATGCAACACTTACTGGATTCCAAAGTAGTAACTGGCGTACTAACCGCAAAGCCCAAATATTTGGAAACCTACATAAATTGCAAAAAAAACAAAAATAAATAGTTAGGTAACCACCAAAACTAGGCAATGGGAATTAATACGACAATGTATGATAAAATGGCCTTGATAGAGAAAAAAAAATGCTTCACAGAAAAGATTGACCCTAATTTAAGTGGATCTCTGCTCTTTATTTGATGGGAAAAGAAATCTTCAGAGCACTTCCAGGAAGCTGGTGAATTTGCGCCCTGGATACAAAAACCAATTACCTCAATTCATATGCATTTTCAACNTTTACAGACCAACTCGTCCGTGACATTCCTTCAGTACTATGTGATCACAGTAACCCTTTTCCAATCCCGCAGTTATTCTACAAGAAGACAATTTCAGGTCAAAATAATAATCATCACCCCAAGAAAAATGTCCACATCCTCACAACAAAATAGATGAAGCAATGCTCAGGACCTTCGATCTAAGAAATGATAGGCAGGCTTTCAACGGAGTCCATAGAAAAGGTACTTGGCATAGAAAATGAGGATTTCACAAACATCCCCTTTTCCCCATTCCCGAAGCTTCTTACACCTAATATGTGAAGCTGCTCTCGATATGCAAAGAATATATTCATAGAAAAAAAAAAGGGTAAAAAGAAAAGAACACCGTCATCCATGTAGTATAAATTATATAAAGTTTTGACTAGAAAACTGCCAAGGAGGTACCTTTTCGAACAACGAAACTCATCTTATGGAGCGGTGCATAAACTAGATCTTTCCATGACCTTGTCTTTGGGTAGATGGCAAAAAATAAGGATGCCGCAAAGCATCATCAACACTCGGTCGATCCTCCTATAATTCAAATGCATTTGAAAACACACAATTACATCCATTAATCCAATTCACAACCAACTCTCACTCGATCAAAAACATGTTCCAGATCAAAAGCCAAAATAGATTCCAGGTTCCATACGATAACACCAGCTATAAAATAACAAAACAATCAATTACAATGCAATATAGATGCTTCTTAACTTATTTCATTTGTCTTTACATTTTCAAATGCAACACTTACTGGATTCCAAAGTAGTAACTGGCGTACTAACCGCAAAGCCCAAATATTTGGAAACCTACATAAATTGCAAAAAAAACAAAAATAAATAGTTAGGTAACCACCAAAACTAGGCAATGGGAATTAATACGACAATGTATGATAAAATGGCCTTGATAGAGAAAAAAAAATGCTTCACAGAAAAGATTGACCCTAATTTAAGTGGATCTCTGCTCTTTATTTGATGGGAAAAGAAATCTTCAGAGCACTTCCAGGAAGCTGGTGAATTTGCGCCCTGGATACAAAAACCAATTACCTCAATTCATATGCATTTTCAACCAAAATCTTAAAAAAAAAAAAAGAGTGGCACAGTGTAGGCACTGTGCCACTGCAGGTTGAGGGTCATTTTGAAAACCAATATCTCTTGCACAAAAATAACATTCTATAAGAAGTGCAAAAATGGAATCCTACGTAAAATATGCCAACCTTTCAAGTGTACAACTGCTTCCAGACGAGAAAAGCTAACCTTCCCAGTAACTTAAGTAATTTCGCCCATTTTTTTTCCAAAGTGGGTCAAGACGTCCTTAACTTATAGATTCTAAAATTTTCGGTGTTGGGTGTACATGTCATCTGTAATATCCTAAACTCTTTTAACCACGGTATCATCACGAAGCTGCCTTCTTTAACTGCTCCACAATTGCAACGAAACTGAAAATCACCTTTCCCCGTACAAATTTGTTTTGTGATCTTATGACAAACTTAGGATTCAATCTAATAAACAGGATAAAGACCAGCATCTTTAAAGATAGAATTAGTAGAAACCTGTCACCAGCAAATTCAGACTATCACCAAAGTTTTGGTGAGAATCATATTCCAAAGAGTTTTAGATATCACGAAACAGATGTTACAAAAAAATAAACTCAATACTCGATTACCAGTGTTTCAATGCATGGTGAAGGCCCACACATATTATGAAAAAATGGATTTTTGCCCACTAATCACTACATACAGGACCTATGGGTAAGGGCAACAGCAAATAAAAGAGACATAAAGAGAGCTGGAGAAAGACCTATGTGTATGATATTTCTATTCTATCCACCCATTTGTCATCCATGAATTTCAATTCCATAATAATCACACATCAAAATTCAACAAAACACCATATTGAAAATCTTTCACATAAAATCGATATTCTGCATTTCAAACCCACATCCAATAAAACTTGTTTATTGAGCAACGTGAATTCCTGACTACTACTTATTTCTCATAACAAAGATGATTGATCAGTACAATGAATTGTTATTGCAACCAATAAATCCTTTGGTGTCCTATCAGTCAATGCTGATTGAGCAGAAGAAAGAAAGGGCCAACTCAGACAATGAAGGAAGTACATTGCAGACAAGACAGAATAACATACAAACAAAACGATATTCTGTATCAGCAAAATCATGCATGTCAACCAGATCATGCCCAGATTGACAACAAAATCCTTATTAATATAATTATCGCCTAAATAAGGCTGAATGTGAAGGAAAATGGGATGATGCCCTGAGCACGCAAAAAGGTTGGGGAGAAGAGAAGAGAAAGACCTTGAACGCATCCAACCATATGTACAAAAGTATAATTCAGTCAAAAACGGTAAACACACCTGATCATTTGTACCCCAAGTGCGATGAGGTTTTGAAGAACTCCCAGGGATTAAGATGCACATTTCCATGAATGCTCTGAGTCTGACACCACGAAACATTGCAAGAGTTTTCAACAATACCAAACTAATAGGAAAGAAGGCATGCTACTGATCATCATCTATTTATACCATGTAGATCATTTTTTTTCTTGAAATATTAACTAACTTCCTCAGGACCCAATTCGTAGGTCCATATTGTAGTCAACAAGCTCATGTTCAATCATTTTGCAGAAGGTGCATTCATGTAGTTGTGCAAGTAATAGGATTATAACTACAAAGACTTATTGACCTTTACATGCTAGTTTAAATACACCATGCAACATAACCAGTTTTCTTCTAGCTGGTGACCATATTTAGTTAATACAACAACATACATAAAATAAAAAACATGAAAGGACAAAGCATAATAAAAGTATAACATTAATCATTTAGAATAGATCCCATCCATCGAAAGCAATTTTTAGTGCTTGACTAATATAATAGAAAGTAAAAGCACTTCTTCAATTCTATGAATGTAACTACGCTACACCACCAACTATAGACATAGTAGGTCTTCTAGAGTGAGCTAGAATATAGAAACACTAGAACCATAAGTTGCACCATACTATACTTGACTGAACCTACTTACACCGATTCAAATACGGTAATAAGATTTCTTTCTCGATCAAATACAGCAATAATATGTTAGCTTTGAGGGCACCTTTTCCTAAAGCATTTCTTTCTCCATCTAAAGTCAAGGATGAAACGAAGGGGAAAATCGCTTACCAAGACTACTCCGAAGAATTAATGAGCCTTTATATGTTCCGCACAATGCGTAAACGGAGACACTTTCTCCTTAATTTGCTAGTCTCATGTTAGTAAATGAATGTCAAAAAGGCCACAAATTCACCCAAAGATCTTAATAACACAAGCTAGTAATTCTCCAATGGTACATGAAAGTATCATCAGAGTTAGATGACCAAAATTGTTGTCTGCAAATAGTAATTAACCTGCACACCACTTTTACAAGGAACAGTCCATGATCTCAAGATGGTGCAAATTAGCTCATCTTAAAAAGGCATTTTATATTGATACGATGGTGTCAACAAACAAGGTGAGCATTTCCTAGGATCTGTTCAATGCTTTAATAGTAGGAAAGCAGGCAATGCTCTTTTGATAAGAAAGGTAGTACCAAAAGGAAAACACACAGGCTTCCATAATGTGAGGTACTTACCAAATTGTAAATGCTAGGTTTCTAAAGACAGGAACAAACCCAACTACACCTAATCGAGGACTAAAAAGAAGAATTATATGCATGACAAGCACCATTTTCTATAAGCAGATAGAAACACCAAGCTCACCTTCTCACCTATGCCTCTGGACTACTAACAAACTTAGGCAGAACATTAGGTAGGGCAAATCTACACCACCAAAATATTCATTAAATTTTCCTTGCACAACTTTCCCATTTGATGCTGATTTATTTAACAGGCAAGATGACACTGCCTGCCCTCTTTCCCCTCTCCCCAACAAAATAAACTCCACCTCCGCCAGAAGAAGAGAGAAAGGGGGCGGGGGGGTTGCACATGCAGAGGTGAAAGATTTTCCTCTTTTATCTTGAAAAAATATCCATCCCAAATTGTCTTTCTGACATATCTCCCTAACTCTTTCATCTCTGCATGTGCAACCCCCCACCCCCGGGTCCCTTTCTCCCTACACTGATTTAATATACATGATCACATAACAAAGCTACAACTAAAAATATCGTATTCCTTCTCTACAGAGTTCTTAAGTTCATCCTTCTGAACACACACTATCACTGGTACATAAAGCCTAAACAATGTCTGATTTAATATACAAGATCACATAACTAAAGCTACAACTTGCATTCCTCACAGAGTTCTTAAGTTCATCCCTCTGAACACTCACACACACACTATCACTGGTACATAAGACCTAAACAATGTCTGACTTCCAAAAAAATTGTGTTCCTACTAGTAATGGAAAGTCAACAGCGGTGCTAGAGTCATGAGGAATAAGAATTGAGACCATCCGAGTAAGAAGTGCTAGAAGGTGGGGAATCCCAAGAAGGGCGTTAATCAGACTGATGAGGAAAGATATGCTGACCAAAAGAGTTAAGAATGTTATGATAGAGAATACGACCCCTAGATTAGCTTTAGTGGCAAAGATCATCTAGCCGACTCAAGGAGATGAGATTTAATACTATTTTTTTTTATATGATATTGTTGCAACCAGAATGCTGTGATTACAAAAATGCAACCAGAATGTAGGACACAAACACCAACTAGGTTTTCTAGCAGCCATAACCAAAAATTATGTCAAACCTACAAAAATCATGGGGAAAAGCCTTTCAGAAAATAAAAACTATGTTTTTTGCAATTTTTGTGTTGATCAACATTTACTTTTAAACTTAATACTTCAGTTGTACTGGCAATCCTATGTCATCACTCAAATATGTTTAGTACGTGACTTCTACATAGTGAAAGATCCTGTACCCATATCAAGACACTTACTCATAGTGCATAACAAAAACTTTTGACCTAGGTGAATGACTGAATGTACAGGATGTCACAGATGTGATGTAAGTACAACTCGATAGTTTGGAATCTGAAAATCAAGCTAGCAAGATTCATGCATCTAAATTACAAGACTCACTTATATGCGAGCTCCTTTAAGCCTTCGTTCCAACCCTCGAGGTGTCGATCTAAAAGAGCATGTGTTTTAGCATTTATCTGAAACACATTTGGTGATCCTAAAATCAACTCCAACATCACAACACCAGCGCTCCACATATCATACCTATCAAACCACCAAGTAATAACAGATAATCAGCCCATCGTCTACAAATGGGAGTATGCAACATAGCAGATGAAGATGTGTTACTAACATTTAACTGAAAAACATCTGGAGATGCATTCATTTTTTCAGGGAAACATGAAAAACCATATTATGCATTCCACAACTCATAATGTTACATGCACTAGAGAATATGCATCAGGAACCTGTGTTGGCCACTTGGCACTTGGCATGGGGTAAAATGTGTCTGGCATGGCCCACTAGAAATTAATCGAGAAAGCAAATCCAGATATTCCAGTTTCCCATGTAACTACAGACAAAACTCTTTTTCTATGTTCCTTTTTATTTTTATTTTTTGCACGATTACTTCAAATGAGTGAAGTGCTAATGTGGGTGTTAAGAATAATAGGGTAGTATGTGCAAAGTGTAATTAGTAAGAGGGTATATGTGTAATTCGTATTACTGTAGGTTAACTATAAATACAAGTGATGTATGAGAGCTAAGTTAAGTTTTTAACCTCTCTCTTTCTCTCTAATATTGCGTTATGTTAATTCACTCAACCTAACATGGTATCAGAGCAATATACGATCATAAATATATATTCTAAATAAACTTTGTTCGTACAAGTGCTACTGTAGTGGTGGTTGCTGTTGTTTGGCGGCTGTGGTCATGGTGGTGTGGCTGTTGTGGTGGTGAGGCGTGGTCTGTGGTGGTTGTTGTGATCGCGTGGTTTGCGGTGGCTGTGTGGTGAGTCATCGGCGGCGTGGTCTGTGGTGGCTGCTGTGGTCGATTCGTGGTTATGGTGGTTCGTATAGTCAGTGGTGAGGCACAGGTGGACTTTCTGAAACCCTAACCAGTGAAGAAGAAACAGCCCGACCCGATCCACTTCGGGTCAACCCAAATCTGACCCAATCCATTGTTTGGTTCGGTCCAGACTAATCTTAGACCGGTTCAATGCTCCATCAAGCAAAACCGACACCGGTTCAGTGGTCCAGAGGGCTAAACCGGCCCGATTCAGTGCTCCAATAAGCCAAACCGGCCTAGTTCAGTGCTCCAGTAAGCCAAATCAACCCGGTTCAGTGGTCTAGAGGGCTAAACCGGCCCGATTCAGTGCTCCACCAACCTTGTCCAACCCGGTTTAGTGGTCCAACTATCTTTTCCAGCCCGGTTCAGACTTCTAGCAGTCTCTTTTTCTCTACTTCAGTATTATAACTCTTCTTGTTTACTATTTGCTACATTATTATGGAACCCAAGCAAGATACCAGGTCCCTTACTCCATCTTTGTCTTCTCCAACCCTTATCAATGGTCCCATGACCTCTGTCAAACTTAATGGGACTAATTACACTTTATGGTCTCAATCTGTTCAAATCTTTCTTCGAGGTAAAGGATTTAAGAAATATCTAGTGGGCTCTAAACCCAAGGAAGACACTCCTGGGTATGATCAGTGGGAACAAGAGGATGCTCAGATTATTTCTTTATTGTTGAATAACATAGAGCCCAGTATTAGCTCTTCTCTGCTCTATCTTGATACTACCAAAGAGATATGGGATCGCTTGGCCACGATGTATTCTGGTACAGGTAATTTTACCCGTGCGTATGAGATGTGCAAGGAGTACTTCAAATTAGAGTAGGGTACTCTGAGCCTTGCGGATTATTACTCTCATGTTCGAGGAGTCTGTGAGGAGATGAAGACTTATCATCCATTTACTACTGATGTAACAGTTTGGCAAAAGCAACATGAGAACCTGAATGTTGTTAGATTTTTGGTAGGATTAAAACCTGAATATGAGGCTATTCATTCTCAGATTTTCGGTGGATCTAGTCTTCCATTACTACTGGAGGTGTTTTCTTGTTTACATCATGCTACACTGTCTACTCCTTCAGTCATTGATCATGGTGTCTCCACTGATCGCTCAGCTCTTGTGGTTCCTAATAACTATAGTGATGGTCATCGAGGTGGACGTGGTGGTCGTGGTAATCGCGGAAGTCGTACGGGAGGTCGTACAGGTGGTCGTGGGATTCGTAGTGGATCCCGTTCCTGTACTCACTGTGGCCGTGGAGGACACAATGTTGATTTTTGTTGGGATCTACATGGAAAACCTTCTGGTACTGCTAATCAGGCTTCTTATCAGGATGATACATCTGTTGTTGCTTCCATACCTCGATCAACTCCACCAGACACTGGGTCAATTACTATTATACTAGGTCGAGAGAAGTATGCTCAGTTCCTGTCCCAGCAACAGGTTGCTCCATCTCCCTTCATTGCTACTTCTACCTGTTTATTGTCCTCCACTCGCAAACTTTGAATCATAGACTTTAGCGCCTCTGACCACATGACTGGTGCATCTGACGTTTTCTCTACTTATCAGTCAGCTACTTTCACACGTAGTGTTACTCTTGCTAATGGTACTTGTTCTAGAGTTTCAGGTCTGGGGACTACTCACTTGAGTCCTGATATGTCCTTATCTTCCGTGTTATTTGTTCTTCAATTTTCTTTTAATTTACTTTCCATTAGTAAGATTACTCGTTCTCTTAATTGTTCTATAACCTTTTACCCTTCTTATTGTGTCTTTCAGGATCTTAAGACGAAGAGGAAGATTGGTACGGGGCATGAAGCTGGTGGCCTATATTACCTTGACTTTGATTCACCTACCCGAACTCTACAGACCTCGTTGTATCCTTTTCAATGGCATTGTCGTCTTGGACATCCCTCTCTCCAAAATCTGAAGCGTCAAGTTCCAGTCTTAGTTATGTGTCGTCTTTGTCTTATGAAGCTTATCAACTTAGTAAGCATCACTGTATGTCATTTCAATCTAGAGTCAATAACCGTATGTCTAATCCATTTGAATTAGTCCATTTTGATGTATGGGATCCAATAAAGAATATTTCATCTAATAAATATCCTTATTTTGTGATATTTGTAGATGACTATTCTCGTGTGACTTGATTATTTTTTATGAAAGCTGAATTATTCTCTATATTTGAGACTTTTCGTAAGGAAATAAAAACTCAGTTTGGTTGTCGTATACGTACTTTACGTTCCGATAATGCTCGAGAATATGAATCTGATCCCTTTTCAGATTATCTTAGTAAAACTGGCATTATTCATCAGATTTCTTGTGCTTACACCTCTCCACAAAATGGTGTTGCTGAACACAAGAACTGTCATTTGTTGGAAGTCACCCGTGCCCTATTATTTCAGATAAATATTCTCCGATATTATTGGAGTGATGTTGTTCTTACTGCTTGTCATCTTATTAATTATATGCCCTACTCTGTGTTAAATGGGCAAAGTCCATTTTCTGTTCTATTTTCTGGTAAGCCCTTATTTTCTCTGACTCCTAAGATTTTTGGTTGTGTCTGTTATGTTCACAATTTAGGTCCTGGATTTGACAAACTTGACCCTCGAGCTACCAAATGTGTATTTCTTGGTTACTCTAGCACGCAGAAGGGATATCGTTGCTACAGTCCTTCTCTGCACCGATATTTTATTAGTGCAGATGTCACATTTGAAGAATCTGTTGCATACTTTCAAGCACCTTCTCAGCCTTTGGATTTAGAATTTGGATCCTCTCTTGTATCACCATCAAATATTTCGCTGTCCATTGTGTTACCATCTACTTTCCCTCTCTGTGTCTACTCTCGCCGTCCTCGCCCATCGACTGAAGTGCCCGTATCGTCTTCCTTGCCGCCTTCTGATCCTGGACCTTCAAGTAATTTAGATTCTTTACCTTTGCTCTTCGCAAAGGTACTCGTTCGTGTTATTAATCATCTCATTTCTCATTTTATTTCATATGATGCCTTGTTTCCCGTTTTACTTCCCAATTATCTACTATATCTATTCCTAAGCATTTACAAGATGCATTATCTAATCTGATCCGGGTTGGAAGAAAGCTATGAAGGAGGAGATGACTACTTTACATCATAATGGGACCTGGGATCTCGTTCCTTTACCATCTAGTAAACGAATTGTTGGCTGTCGGTGGGTGTATACTGTTAAATTTCACCCTGATGGTTCTGTAGAGCGTCTCAATGCCCGATTTGTTGCAAAAAGTTTTACTCAGACTTATGGTGTTGATTATAAGGAGACTTTTTCTCCTGTTGCCAAAATTTCCTCTGTTCGTATCTTGATTTCTCTGACTGCTAATCTTGATTGCCCCTTGTTTCAGTTAGATGTTAAGAATGTCTTCTTACATGGTAATTTGGTTGAAGAGATCTACATGGAGCAGTCACCTGGGTTTACTGCTCAGAGGAAGTATGATAATAGTGTATGTCGTATAAAAAAAATCTTTGTATGATTTAAAGCAGTCACCGAGGGCATGGATTGGTAAGTTTTCAGATGCAGTCTTAGAGTTTGGTCTTCTTCGATGTCAAACAGATCATTCTGTGTTTCATAGGCAAACAGATGTTAGGTATGTTTTATTAGTGGTCTATGTAGATGATATTGTGATTACTGAAAATGATTCTGAGGGGATTACCAAGTTAAAAATATTCTTACAAGATCGATTTATACTAAAAATTTGGGAAAACTCAAGTATTTCTTGGGTATTGAGGTGGCTCGATCTAAACAGAGTATTTGTTTATCTCAGATGAAATATATACTTGACATGCTTGAGGAAGTAAGTTTGCTGGACGGTAGACCGATTGACGTGCCTATGGATCCGAATTAGAAATTATTGATGAATGATGGTGTATTGTTTGAGAATCCGGGTCGGTATCGCAGATTAGTTAGAAAGCTTAATTATCTCACTATTACTCGATCGGATATTTCATATGCAGTCAGTTTATGAGATGTCCTAGAGTACCACATTGGGAGGCAGTTACTCGTATTCTGCGATATCTCAAACGAGCTTCTGGACTTGGACTGCTATATCGAGCTAATGGACATCTTAGAGTCGAAGGTTTCTCAGATGCTAATTAGGCTGACTCTCCTTCTGATCGGAGATCAACCACTGATTATTGTACTTTCTTAAGAGGTAATGTTGTCTCATGGAAAAGTAAGAAACAACCCGTGATAACAAGATCCAGTGCTGAGGCTGAGTATAGGGCAATGACACATACGACGAGTGAGTTGACTTGGCTACTACACTTCCTCCAGAAAATTGGGTTTCCAGTTCAACTTCCTTTACAATTATTCTGTGACAACCAGGCAGCTTTCCATATCGCTGTCAATCCTGTGTTTCATAAGAGAACCAAGCATATTGAGGTTGATTGTCACTTTCTTCGGGACAAGATAGTAGCTGAGGAAATTACAACTCCATTTATGAAATCTGAAGATCAGCTTGCAGATATGTTTACCAAAGTATTGAGTTGTACACGTCTTACAACTATTTGTTCCAAGTTTGGATTATATGATATATATAGTCCAGCTTGAGGGGGAGTGTTAAGAATAATAGGGTAGTATGTGCAAAGTGTAATTAATAAGAGGGTGTATGTGTAATTCGTATTACTGTAGGTTAACTATAAATACAAGTGATGTATGAGAACTAGGTTAAATTTTTAACCTCTCTTTTTCTCTCTAATATTGTGTTATGTTAATTCACTCAACCTAACACTGGGGAACTCCATGACTAGATGAATATGATGCTTAGATACATGGCAGCATGCAGTATACACATCTGAGTCCATGTAATAATGGAGTTCCATGAACATGAATAGAGACCAATTATGCTAAAATTTGACGGTGATAAAACAGCACTTGGCATACTTCAAAGTTGTGCTTGTTGGCCCCTGATACCAACTAGCATTTAGAAGAGCTTCTGGAGGAGCATACTCGTAAGTTTGTTCAGCTCTGAGAGACAAAAAAAACAGGTAAGAACAAGAGAAAAAAGACTTTTCTTTCAAATATAGCCAAGGTTAAGGTAGGGGATTCTAGGTTATCCATTGCAACAAAATGATGGTGAGCATAATAGTGAACCTCACACTCACACTGATAGGAGTTTATAAAAATTGCTTAGAACCCATATGCTATAGAGAACAAGCGAGACCCAGCCAGATATTGTGACAGCTCATGGAAAGATGATGAAAGTAACCTGTGTCATAATAGCCTGGTTCTGAATTTGCTTGGTTCAGGCTGCAAATCTAACGAACATTCTTTATTTCCAAGCATGCTCAATAAGAACCACAAAAATGCCAGTAGATTAAAAGTACCCAAAGAGCAACAATTTTAAGCAGCAGTGTGTTCAGAATCAAGTGACAGCCACACTTCGACCAAGACAAAGAATAACGAACACTTGAAAAACCTTTACCAGTTGGCACCAAAATGGAATATCTACAAGACTAGAAAATGCCACCTCGAAGTGAAAATTTGAGGGGCTAAATTAAAAGATGGCCCAAATTAGAGATTTTTGAAGTACAAGTTTGGATGAACAGTTGTTGTTTATTTACAAAGCATAGGCAATATAGCTTAACAAAAAATGGCCCACTGGTTCAGCGATTAAAAAAACTTGTGGCACTCCTGTTAATGCAGCAAAAAATAAAAAACAATTCAAATCAAAGGACAAACCCAAATTGAACCACACTAAAATGATAAGTGATCAACTCTTAATGAAATTCATGATAATACAAATTGAAAGAAATTTATATTTTTAAGGCACTAAACAGCTACATAAAATATCTCCATGGACAACAAAAATTGCAATAAGGACTTGCAGGAAAAGGAGATACCTAGAAGGTCCAACAGACCCATACAAATGCTTCACTGTGAACTCATCCATTGCACTGCCAAAGTCAATGATGCGCCTAACAATTGAAATCGCAACATCATTTTATCGAATACCATAAACAAAAAAAAATTTCCAATAAAATCAAAAGGCATAATAGAAATATTACAAAATCATTTCCAAATAGTTGAACAGTGGACACATCTTGAATGTGCAAATCAGCTAGACAAGTGTCTACATTAACCTCGCTGTAGCAGTTAAAACTTGAAACAAATTAGGAAACTACTAATGTTCAAGTGGTTGGAAATGGAATCCAGGGCAGATACATCAGCTTGGAATTAGGCAAAGTCATGCAATGTGCAATGTTACATGGGTTAAAAAATTTTAAGACCAAAGAACTGTTGCTTCGCAGCAAGGGGATACGAGAAAACCTTCTCTCTCACGTAAGGGTACAACTGGGGAAAGGATAGTTTGGTATGGATTCTTGAGGTGTCCCAGGCTTAGGTCCCAAATAGTCAATCATTTTTACTAGGTTTGTTTCCATCTAAGGGAATCAGTTAAAAACTAAACCAACCCCACAACCAATCCATTTTTATGGGGCCGAAAGAGAGAAATTAGGGTCAAAGTACAAAAGTTCCCTTCAGCGTGATACATACCATTGTATTGGCTTCCTCCAAATCCAAACTAACCAACATGAACTTATCTATTTAGATGTTGAAATAGATAAGAACCAACCTAGGCCAGATTAATTCTGGATATGCAATAAGCTAAACAAACCCTCTATACAGATCTAAGAGCACATTACGCAATAATGTGTTATCAAGTTAACAAAAGGTATAAACTGAAGTATAAATGTATATTGAAACTAAACAAGGTTTTCCTGGGTAAGAAAAGCTGGCTGACCCTCAAACTTATAGATAATTTGAAGATTCCAGTTTATAGTCAACAAGAAAAAAGCTTGCAACGTATAGCAATAGAATCAGACAAAAAAGAAAAAAGGAAGTCAGATACTATGGCAGTAAGATCTAATCTGAGATACATTTTAGTCGTGTAATTCTTATCTCCATTAGGGCTTCCTTCCAAGCATCTCCCAGAAATCTGATCTTCAAAGCAAATGACCATGTTCTCTTCCAAGAAAACAATATAAAAGCATTGTTAGTTGGCACATTTCTCAAAAGAACAGCAATTCCTACAGCATATTTAAAGGCATGATTAGAAGAAGAAGTTTTGAGAATAAATAACATGTTTAAGCACAAGGTATTTATCCCTAACAGTGAAACAAAACATAGTATTACTGTATTAGGCATTCACATAATGGCCAACAATGAATGCCTCTGGAGACATGAAAGATAGATTAAGTTGCAAACCATTTAACAGGTATTCAAGAACACAAGCTTATGATGCATGAGTTTCAAATCATAACTTACATATGTGACCAAAAACGATAGAGCATTACTTTGAGCTGGCATGACTAATTAGAAAACATTTTAGAACCGCACTGCTATTCAACATTTTACTAATATAATGCCATAAACAGTTTAACAACAATATTATTTTGGTAAAGCCAAGGTCAGAATTGGTCCAACTGCTGTCTTTCAGTTGAAAGATCATTTTAGTATATGACAGATAATCTTTTAACATCACAAGGATAGCTGCATCCTCACCAGGTTTGATATCCCTGTGGGTGATATTGCGGTCATGACAGGACTTGAGTGCCATCAACTGAGCAAAAGAGAAAGAAGCATATCAGGAAGTAGCACTGGTGCACTATTCAATCAATATTGGAAGGAAATTGGACTCTTGCGACATATGCTCTGAGAAAGAACCCTGGGGAAACATAATAACAAGGACACAAGTACAAAGTCCACAAAAGCTAGAGACTTGAAACTGGATGATTCTTTTATTTTTTAAGTCGTCGAAACAGAATCATATTGAAAACTCAATAATATGCATATTCCAGTGCTACAAGCTCCTTATGGCAAAGTCAGCATTACCCTTTGGAACTAAAAACCCTGTAGTTTCGAAAACTTGAGATAACTCAAACGTGCATTAAAAAGGGAAGATTTATATAAAGAAGATTAAATTTTTGAGAGATGGGCCTACCATATTCAGTGCAAATATCATTTGTTCGGAAGATGCGAGACCAATCAAAGCAAGCCAAAGTGGCAAATTACTCAGTTTTTTTCTCACAGCGTACAAGGAATGATGAGAATATAGAAGTCCATCTAAAGCTTGTGTATATCTTACACAAGACTTCAAAGTAAACAACTGAAAATTGTCTTTATTAAGATATGTTTATGGTGGCATAAAATCAATCTGAAACAGATAACTGCAGGCATACCAATTGCCAAATAAGATTCCGCATTTCTTCTTGTCCTGCTTCTGTAGTCTTCAACCAGTGCCACCATTTTGATGGATGCAACACCTGAACACGTTTTGCGTGTTCATCCCTTTCTTCATCAGCATTACTTACTACTTCTTCTGCAGTATACAGAAGCTTTGACAGGGACACCCCTTCATGACGGAACACAAGCCATATTTCATTGGATTGAGATTCAAAAGACTCGACATATCTTGCAATATGATTCAGACCTTCTTCATGGACATCTCTCAACAGCCGATTTTCTCTCAGGAATAGATGTCCAAAACTCATTGTGTTCTCAATTTCTTGAAGATCTGATTCATTTGTTTTTAACAATTCATATGACTTTGATTGTGATTCTTTCCAGAAAGAATCTGATGTTCCAGCTGATATTGAACCTTCCAGAAATGCAGAAGCATTCACAAAAATTTCACCGAAATACTTCTCCCGTAAACCGCTCAAGTAAACTGCAGTACCTCTTTCCACCTGTTAGCAGTTAATCAATAACTACTCAACTCATGCCAGAAGCCTCCACAAATTGTAAAACCTGGACCGTATATTCTTTATCCAATAAACTCTCCTTAAAACATGAATTATATCATAGACCATGTTACCATCCGAAGGTTAATTATTCATGTACCCCAAGATGATGATTACAAAAGCATACAAACAAGGTGTGTAATAAATGGGGGCACATATTGAAGCAAACAGTTACAGTTTATAAAAAAGCAGAAAATGGTCATTATAACTAGTGTATATCAGTTTAAAAAGCAAGCAGCAATATGGTGAGAAGCAGATAAATTTTCTAACTCTACAAAGAGTGAGGCTATAGTACAGTACTATATCACAATCTGGGGACATTAATTTGAAGCATCAGATATTGACAGAGAGATTGGGAGAGGGAGAGATGCAGGGAATTCATATATTGTTTTCTTCCTCATGGGACCGACCTTAATTAAGTCTGAATAATTTTTCCCATCGGAAGTGTGAAGCAGAAGAGAAGAAAATTAGAACTCTTGCCATACATGGGATGCTTCTTCCTCATGGGGAGAAAGAAGCATCAGATATTGAGAGAGATATTGGGGGAGAGGGAGAGATGCGGGGAATTCATATATGGTTTTCTTCCTCATGGGACCATCCTTAATTAAGTCTGAATAATTTTTCCCCATCAGACAATGGCAAGTGTGAAGCAGAAGAGAAGAAAATTAAAACTTTTGCCATACATGGGATGCTTCTACCCAAGAGGATGGAAGGAGGGAGGACATACTGATTGTGTGACCATCAGCTTGCAAATCAATGTCCCAAGAGAGGTTGCATCAAGAGTAAGATCAGAATAAGAATTTGATTAAACACCTAAGATAGGTTAAAGTCAACAACTGCTACCCCATTATAAAAATTTTTGCTCCAACTAATTTAGTTAACAAAATTGGTCAATATCACATGTACCTATATCATAAACGTCAAAGTTTGTAAAAAGAAGTTGATTTATCTTCATAAAACAACACACAGGCTGGCAAGCATAATCCAAATTTTTTCATCACTTCATTCATTTATTTTTTTGATAACATAGAATCGTCACAACTACACTTTGGACTTGTGGCTACAACGCAAACTCCAAATGCAGAAGTCATGATTCAAGGCCCTATGCTAGTACGAGACACAGCATTATGAGCTATTCGTAGAAGTGGTAGACCCCCTTCTCAGGTGAGTGAAATACAAATGCACAGAAAATATCACAATTGCCCTCGCCTGTAGTCACTCGCAAACATGCACATTAGATAAACCAGGCTCTCTTGCAAAAATTGTATACTAGAGGATCACTAGAAAATCAATGAGTGCTAGTCACTTCGTATCCCAACAGATTAAATGCCCACATAGAACAATGGAAAGTCAAACACCTGACTTCTTAAGGATGAACAACCGCACACAGGTTGTCAACAAGCACTGCCACCTCATTCTCAATCATATATGGCAGTTTCATCTATCTCCAAAGGAATAACAAAAGGCAGTTAAGGCACTTAAAAACAGAACAACCATAATGAAGATGGCATAAATAATAGGGCAATACCAAACTAAAGCATGTGTACCACAACAGAACAGCAGCAAACACCTACATCCCCATAGATGTCCCATTTACACCAAGTAAATGGCCTAGCTAGAGTACATCACTATAACCTCAGACAAACTGTAAACATCCCAATGGCTTTACCAACCTGTTAAAACAATTTTGTAACTTCACCCCCACATTAGTGAAGCACTACGCCATTCAATTGCAAAAGGAAATTGGGGCGGGCATCTATTGAAAGTGAATCATGCAACAAGACCCTCAAAAATTTTTGAATATGATCCATTTTCCTCACATTAAGAAAGAGAGCTGCATAGTATTTAAGAAAGTGAATTAGACTGATAGGAAGAATTTATGTATCTGTGGAACTTTCATGGTCGTCCATATTCACCTAAATATGCGTATTGGGAAGAATTCCCCAGTTGAGTTGAAGTGATGAATCACCTAGTAATGCATCTTGCCACAAGAACTTAGTAAATGATATTGAGAGGTATGATTTCTGAGCATGTGCAAAGAGTTCAGTGTCGACACGGAAGCTGGCTTTTTGACACTATATCATCGAAAAGATCCAAGACTCGGTGTTACAGCCATACTTAAAATTTTTCTTGTCTGTGATCTACAATGTATGGACACGAACACAAAGGTCAAAACAAAGTATATCCAAAATGGAAAGCTTCAAACCAAGATTCGAGAAGGTAGGCAGACATTCAAAATAAAGATTGAAGGAAACATATATACATCAATGAGTACTTTTATTCCAAACCAAACCAAGTTTCTCTAGTTTCCATGTTCTTCATACACTTTTTACACAGGTAGATGTTTCAATTTCTTTTTTCTTAACAATAGGCAATATTTGAAGTCAAATTGAAGCAAGAAGTGAATTTGTAGAGATGGAAGGAGGGGCATCTAAATTAAAACAATGTGACATACTTGGAGAATATAATAAATGAAGAGTCAAATGAATTTCTCTTGAAATATCATAACATCCAAAGCTCGTTGTTCAATCAAAGACTCAATAAGCCTTGCAAACCTAAAGGACTCAAAGCAGCAATCTCACCGCCAGAAACAAGTACATACATATCTCTCATAAGTCTCAACTCTCTCTCTCTCTCTCTCTCTCTCTCTCTCTCACACACACACACCCCTCCTCTCAAGTTTTTTCATCATCCAGGAAAACTTTGATCTTCCTTGAATTTGATTGATCTTCCCCAACATAGACACTTACTAGGAGAGAAGGAAGGGAATAATACATTTAAATCATGTTCAACACATCTCATTATTGGCGTCCTATAAGACATTGGAAAACATAGTCACTAGATCATGCATTAGAAGATTGAGATCAGATCAAATACCATCTCATTGTACAAATGGAATAACGCACATTAACCCCTCACCTTAATTCTAATTAGAAGTGCAATGTAGGAATTAAATCCTTACAACACACTGGATGATGGTAAAAGCTTTGAACAAATAACCAGGCAGCAAAAGGAGATATAAGAGAAACTACACAGATTAAATGTTAATTAATTGAATTACCATTATACGCTTCAAAATGAACATGTGGTCATCAGGAGCGCCAGCATTAATATCATAAGCAGATGAGTTTGTTGGAAAATTTTCATCACATACGCCAAGATGCATAGTGTTAGATGTAAGATCTTTTTCTTTCATACTCAAAGTCGAAGCATTGCTGCCTCGGGAACAATTCCAATGAAAAGCCAGCCAAACTTCACCATATGAACCACGATCAAACCTCTTCTTTAGTATGTACCTAATAACCAGTAAGGAAACACTTTACACAAGAGAAGACAAAGCATCGAAAGGTGCCAACTGTGTGAACGAAGTAGCAAACTTCTACAAAGCAGACGTAGGATCAAGTTACATCAACCAGTAACTGACTTCTAAAAAACACAACCTAGGATAAAAGTACATAACCAGCAGCTAATAAATGGATACAATGCTGGAAGACAAAAGCACATCTGGAAAATCATCGCTCACATAGATCAACTCAAACAAAACTTTTATCATTGCACACACATCATGAAAGCATAAACAGATATTGCTTATCCTCGATATCCCCAATCAGTCTTGCAAACAAGGCATGTACCAGGTTGTAGACAGTCCATATTGGTCAAGTGTTATGTGGGAGGTAATTGTCTGATCACAAGCAATGGAAGAACTACTGCTTAAATCCACCAAGGCAAAAAAAATATTGCAGGCCCTTGCTGCAAGTGCATTAGCACTTTTCTTGGCTGCCAGCCCAATGAAGGATCCAACTTTGAAAGTTGACAATCCATCAAAGTAGGAGTGAGATGTTGGTAGAGGCATTGTTCACTAGATTCTATCAAGTGGAACCCTATTATGGCATCATTATCAAGAAAATAATGCAATAGCAAGTCATCAAATTTTTTTCCTTCATAAGTAGCCTTCTAGCAAATCTGCATGTAGGTTATACTATTATATC